TAGTAGATCGTGTGATTTAGCCAGATGTGCTTATGGCTGACCACAATAAAGTGTTTGTGTATCACTATAAGTTAGAGCAAAGCTTCTTGTATTTTTAATCCCTTAATAGAAAATGATGCGTGTGCACAACCTTGCAGTTTTGTGCCGTGTCTTTTCAATGTTGCTAACAGAAGTGAAACAGCACAAGCAGTTCATGCATCACATTGGTAGCAGTGGAGGGAATTAAGTAGGTACTGAACATGTTCTAAAATCCTTGGGGAATGCTTTTGAGCTTGGGGAAGGTATTAGAGAGTGGTATCGGTTCTCTTTAATTTATACTCAACTATATTGGGGGTATGTATTACTCACAGTTTTCTTTTTTCTTTCCTAGACACTGGTTCCAATACTGCAGAATGAATAGAACTGTGGTTTGCCTGCAATATTTTCTGTTAATATGCAGCACTTTCTGGAGAGAAGCATGGAAAGGACTGTGTTCATACTTAATTCTTGTGATGCAGATGTGAGTTAATCCATACTAGAAAGCGTCACAAAATGACAGCCGAAGAAATACCTGTAGCATTTCTTCAGTTCAACTTATAGGGCATGATAACAATGTTACTTTTTTTTTTTTTTTTAACTACAACAGATACTGTTGCCTTTTTGGTTCAAAATAATTTCTGTAATAAACTTTTATTTAAAAACTTGTGAAAGAATGATCATTGGAAAACTTTGTTTAAAAACAATCACTTATATAATACATTATGCCAATATTATCTAAGTGTGTTTAGAGGAGTGTTGCAAATGCAAAGCTCTTTCAGTTACAGGGTTCCAATATGGTTGCACTGATTGGTATTGCAAGAAATGGCTGTTTCAGAATGAGAGAGGAGGACATGAACAAAAGCTCAGCAGCTCATGCTGGCCAGTATAGTTGTCTGTTTGTTACTGTATCTTTCTATCTATAAATTTGTCCATTTGGTACCCTCTGCTAATAATATACCAACACAAGTTATTGCACAACTAATCAAAATGAAATAACGAAACAGACTCTCGTAAGATTGCACTATGTACTCAACAACTGTTAGTGTGGCTTGTTTTAATGTTTTTCTAATTGTTTTCTGTATACATTTAATACATTTAGTTGGACACCTGGCCAACAGGATTTCAGTGAAAGAGTTTAGCTATGAATTTTGAGATATCAAATGGATAACTTTATTCTTTTTTGACTTACACATTCCACTAAATAACTCCAATCAAGAAACCCTTAAAATAGTTTCTTTGCTAGAATTGTGAATATAATATACTGACAGCTCATTTGTCTGACTTAACAGCAGTGACTGTTTGAGTGTGGTCACAGGAATGCTAGCTGCCTCAGCAGTGTCGCATTCATTTGGTTTTGGTAGGCTACTTACAGACCACTAGAAACTGGAAATTGTACAGAAGTAGTCAGGGGGTAACTGTTTTCAGATCAGTCTAAATCTTTAATTTGTGCCAGAACTGGAGCATAATTTACATGTTGAAACCTTTCTCTACGTGTCTACATGGCCCAGTCTATTAATTAAAGTAATAAATCTTTAGTATATTCTAATACCTTTCCAGACTGGTATGTTATGGTTCTCTAAATCCTACCTTTGGTCTGTATATTTGGGGCTTGGTTAATGTCTGCTTCCCTCACTTCAAGTGTTTTTTTCTTTTTCTATATCAGATTCAATCTAGGTTTAAACGTTGGGTTTTTTTTCTCTAATAATCACGTGGTAAACTGAATTTCAGGCCTTACAAGTGTAAAAGTTTGCTGTCCCTACCTCTAACTCTTTGCAGTCTCTTCCTGCCTCTGGACAGAAACTTCTCAATCTCCAGTTCTCTGTAGCCTTTGGACTCCTTCCTAATGGAAATAATTATATATCTGATTTTGTTCCAATTAAGTGTGCATTAGCATATTTACTATAGCATTTTTCTATTAAAACCAAATTTAATAGAGAAGCACAATTGTACCAATGATCTGAGATTACTGTGTGGGATGGATTTATGTTTACATTCCATTGATGCTCCTCTATCAGACTTGTTTTCAACAGTTGTATACTACTACTTTAGCCCTCCCAGGCTTAGTGCTACATTAGCTGTTCAGTGAAAGGAAAAGAAATATTTAACTGAAAAAGAAAATAATATATATATACACTAAGAAAAATTACAAACGAAAGGAGAAATAATTTTATTGACAAAGATGTCTGCTACTTAGTAATCAGTGAAATTCAAATCAATGCGAGCAGGAAACAGAAACAATTATGTTCATAATTCAGGGCAACTTTACTGACTTGTTTAAAAAAAGAACAACAGTCCCATTGAAGCTCTAGACTTGGTCCTTTGGAAGGAGAAGGTGATGAGATACTCCATGTGCTGCACTTTAAATTGTATAGCCTCCTTCTCTGGTTGTTCCTATTCGGTGTGAAAACTGAGATTTGAATATTGCCTTGCCTTGTAAGGAAGCAGTTGAAAAGGAGATGGACATTCTGAAATGAATTTAAATGCTCTGTACCCAAGTCTTACTGTACTGAAAAAATGTGCAAACTTAAGTGACACTAATGTTCTTGATTAGCTTGTTCAGCCTGAGTTAAGTGAGTGGCGAAAAATGACATAAATGAAAAATACATTAATTGTTACGGGTGGTTCTGAACCGTTCTAAGATTTTTTTTCTTTTGCTAATAATAATGTCTTAAATGCACAACAGACTGGAGCAGGAGAGCAACTGGAATAGGTGGGGGCAGGAAGCAATCTTCCTGGGCACAGTGATAACGAAGGGACCCTGTGCTGAGGGAATCTGTGCAATTTAGGCTGTGTGAAAGGCTAGAAAGCATGTGCAAATTGGGAGTAAGGGAACATTTTAGGTGAAACCACAAAGAAATGAGTAGGAACAAATGGGCAGTCATAACATACGCTTCTGTAATCTAGACATTCCTTTCCTCTCACAAGCCGAAAGTCTGAGAAGGCCTTTCATACTGAACAACAGGAAGAGAGAAGCTACCAAACAAAAATAAAAACTGAAGGAAAGAAAGGCAAAGGTGTACCCTGAGCTTTTTGTATTGCTGCTGCCTGGCTAATTATTGGTGATATTAGAAGTTTTCTTTCACATCTGGTTAATGTTTTAATATCACCGTTTTAAAATTTTCTGGTAACATAGGCTAGCTCTGTTTGGTTATGGCGAATGCATTGAGCTGTTGTTCTGCAAGCCACTTGTTCTCCACTCTCATGATGTAATCCTTGTTTTGTATGTACTCCATTTTTCATTTATAAAATAAATACTTTATTATAAGTTTGACTACTTATTGTTCCCAAAAATAGCTTATGTGTGCATCTTCTGTCTCCTTCATGACAGTGCAGTGTTAGGCAATGCAGGTATCTGATATTTTTGCATCTGTGGGATGTTTCTAGGACATGGAATTGAAATCCGGATGCATACAGAGTGCATACTGAGTTTACCTAGGTATACAAAGAATACTTGAACTTTTGTGATCAATACTATTCTTTGCTTCTGTTGTCGTTGAGAGCCAAAGGGCAATCTGTGCATATGCAACAGAGAAGCATTTGGCAGCTTTGTTCTTTGCATGGTTATGTTATGGTGCAGAAGCTCCAGGTACCACTTATTTAGTATTTATTTGTTCTGTGAATATACTGTTGAAAACTGCAGAAGTTAGTGTTGGTTTTGTGTATGTGAAGAAACAAAATGAATAAGGGTTGCTTTATGGTTTCTAAAGTGTCTAAAGTAAACCTCACACAGGTCTGATGTTTCAACCTTATCTTGACTTTTTTTCTGTATTCTGTTTTGAAATACTCTCCGTTCCTAGCTTAGCTCTAGTTTCTCTCTCTCTTTTTTTTTTTGGCTTGTTGTTGCTGTTTCTAAACTATTCTTTTTTTCTTAAACATCCCATTCAACATAAGGTATTTACACTGTTAACTAGGCCGTCTCTTTAGAAAACAGCTCTTGAGGCATAACTGAGATGTAAATAATTCTTGGGAATAACCTTTTTGATGTCTAGAATTGCTCCAGTGGTGGCTCAGGGAGTATCTGCCTATGGTGTGAAGACTGCTGCCTGCTTGCTGCAGAAGAGAAGCTTGCCTGTGCTTCTGGAGGAATTAATTCCTGCAAACCTCACAGCTGCCAACACAAGCTGACACTAGATTGGCAGCACACATCCTTTTTGCTCTAATTATGTTTCTGGGATGGTGTTTGTTCAGGCCCCAGATCTGCTACTTCTGTGGAGGCTGCTTCAGTTCCCTGCAGGAGAGGAGAGCAAGGAGAAGGTAAGGAGATCTGGTGCCAAAATCTTTTTATTGCTTTACTCTCTGTCACTTTCTTGCCACTTGCTAATTTTTGTGTTTGAATTTCAACTAATCCCTCCATGTTCATATGATTAATGTGCTTTGTGGTCTTGGAAGATTTGTTGAACTTAAACCTAAAAGTGTTAACTTCACTTTTGCTATATTAAGCTATTTTAATATCCAGTGGTAGACAAACCATCTCACTTGCTACAGCATCAGCATACTTGCTGCTGCCTATTCACTTATTCCTTGCCTGTAGTGTTATGGACTGATTAATTTATTTGGGTTTTTTGTTGATTTTCTTCAGAAAGGTCACAGTTGCTTCCACCTATCCACCTATCAGTAGCAGACAGAAGGTAAAATATACCTTTGCACCTTGACCTTCACCTTGAGCTGGAATGGATGTTTCTATTTAGAAAGTAAATTAATTAAAATAAAGTGAAGAAAAGGGAAGAATAAACACCAATACAGAAGTGACTGTGGATGACTGCTTGTGTTTAAAAATGGCTTCCAAGAAAAAGGATTTTGTGAATTCTGTAAGTGCACAAAACAGGATGTTATCTGAAGTAAGCTGTCTGCTCAGTCCGGGATGTCAATATCTGACTTTAAATGTTATCAGAGAGGCACAAATTAAAGGAAAGTGCAAAGCAGGAAGAATTTATGATGAATTCCCGGAAGACAAGTTTAATCAGTATCATTATGTAATTTTACACAATGACTAGGTAAAATGAGGTAGATGAGAGTTACTCAAAACAGATATTTGCTTTTAAGGATCTCAGCAGCTTAGAAGGTAGTATTTCAGTTAAGGTACTACTGACTTGGTTTTGCTTTTCTGTACTCTGAAAGTTCGGGGGCAGGGGGAGAAAAGTAGGACCATGGTAAAAAAGCATTTTAACTTTAATAGGACGGTACTGGGAGATGTGGGCTTTTCCTTCACTAACTTAGAGTCATCTTTGTTAGGAAAATAGCTTTGCTCAAAGATAAATTTACTGTATAAATTAGCCATTATGGCTTAGCAGGTAGTAAGTCACAGACAGATATGTTAATATTTTGGTTTTCACCTTGTGCTAAAAGAGCCTGCACCCTCCAAGAAAGTGGAAAGTAGTTCACTGAGGGTCTGATTAATATTTCATGCTCATTGCTGTTGCAGTCAGAAGAAAAAGGACACCCTAACCCTGTTCCCTGAATCAATTTTACTAATGACTGCAAATACTTTACTGATATTTTCTTCCTATAGGTCATGTTTTCTTCTAGTTTGTTCAGAATTTATTACCTGTTTTCCTCCGAACTTATTTCAGTTGACCCATCTCTTTATTATAGGATATTTCAGAGATGTTCATACAGAGCATGAAAGAAATGCAAAGCAAGAAGGAAACAGACCATCCTAACTGGA